AAATGCTGAAAATTTTGTACTAAAGGTAAATTTGGAGGATGATAAAAATTCATGCAGCATCTTTTTGAACATGTGGAGTAGTGCTATGTATTAGACTATAAGTTAAGAAGACTCACTAGTATTCCTGCATTTTTGTTAGAGGTACAGTGCAACACTTGCAACTGAGGACAAACTCAAAATCTCTTTTGTCAATAGAACTAAAAATGGTAAAAATATAGTACAGATTTGATTACAATTTATTTTACAATTTTATTATTTCATTAAACCCCAAAATAGTTAATACTGGAAATAATTACATTATGGCAACAAATTGGGTATTTTGAACAATTTTTTATTGTAAGATAGTGTTAAAATAGTATGAAATGTACTGGAAAAAGAAAACATCAAATTTTTGTAATATGATTCTTGAGGTAAATATTAACTAAATTTTATTAGTAGCAGCCAATGTTAAACGAAGTTTCTTTGCTGAGAGATTAAAATCACCAGATTAAGAAAAAGATCCTTCTTTTTGTGAGTGTATTTCTGCTTATGTTTGAGTATTAAGATTACTCTATCCCCAGGTCAGAACCAATACATAGTAATGCTATTCTGAATACTTCTTTTTCATGTGCTAAGGCTTACTCAAAGAACGAATAAAAGTAATTAGTAATTTAGCCAATTTTTAGTTGAAATGTTAATTATAAAGTTAAGCCTGTACATAGATAGAATTTATCAGAGTAAGGTGAAGATTCAGAGGACTGAAACTATAAACATTTTTGTTGCCCAGTTGGTACACTGGAAGATGCTTCATAGTTTTTCATTCTTATATTTACAAACTGAAGACTAATTCACAGCAGTATTTCTTTCCCCTTTGAATATATTCATTGCATAACTTGATTACACATTTGTCAACTTTGCACTAATTATTTTTCTACAGCTAGGGCAGGGCATTGCATCTTCTGATCGTCTTTCTTACTAATAGGATTCTGTCTGCTTCAGCAGGCAGTAATTGAAGGCTTCATGTACAAGATTTAAAGAAAGGGTGGAGAAAAAAAAAGTTTTTGCCTTCATGGGCCATTTTCACTGTTTCTGGTAAGCAATAGAACAGAAAAAGAAGAAAATTTGGCTTGAATAGAAAAAGCAAAGAAGAAGGAGAGCGCCCGACAGGAGAGAACGTATGTGTTAGTGCTGTTGAATTATGCGTAACAAAGCCTGCTCTGCTGTAAACACATGTCCCGATAGTGAGGGTTCAGGTGTAAATTTACTTTCTCAAATGCTGAATTTTAAAGAGCAGATTTTGAGTGAGTTACTCTGTTGCTGTCTCTTCACTGGCATGGAATTTTCATAACCTTTCCCCATAAAAATCCTTCTCCTGTTTATTGTGGCTATCTACAAATAAAGGGAAAATAGCTTCTAGTCATCGTTACAAAGCCAGTGTTTGGCAAATGCTGTCACATTGCAGTGTCTGATGCTCTGTGTTTTCCCTTGATATCAACTATAAATCAAATATTTTTGTGTGATAATCATTAACAAATCTTATTTTCATGGTAAGTGACCAAGAATATGTACTTGATTTTTAACTCTTGAAAGACTGAATGACTTTCTAAAATTATACAGTACTTTATTGATGTTGATTTAGAATTTGATTCTTAGTATGTTTTTCCTTACCTTGTCACAGGTACTACATTTATGTAAAAATAATCTATTAACTCCTTCTCTTTTTTTCCATGTCACATAGCCTTAGGATAATTAACATTCTTTTAAAAAAAAAAAATTTGGAAAAATTTAGAATATGCAAATATATCTCATTGTTATGTTTCTAATCTGTCTTGATTTTTTAAATGGGAAAAGTATTAACGGCTGCAAATCATTCTGAATATTTTTAATTACGTTAAAACAGTTTTAGAATTAATATTATCACAGAAAGAAAACTACAAAACAACTGCAGTATAGCAGAAACAACCTTCCTGAAATTGTTAGTAAATATTTGGTTCTGGTTTCTGAATGGTATTGTCATTTACTTTCCTATTTTTTCATATTCACTGATGCATCCTTTGTTGCAGCAAAACCATGCTGATAGTATAATGCCTTATGTTAAGAGTTGTCCATACAAAAAATTATTTCTTTCGGATCTACAACCAACCAATTTACAAGCTAGATTTTAATCTAATATAGTGCAGTTTCTAAGGCTTATTTCAGTCTATCAATTCTGATTGGGTTTATTATCTCTTTTAAATTTTTTTTGTATTCAAATTCTAACCTTTAAGGCAGTATCAAATTTCAGAAAAAGTAAAAAATAATTACTGACCTTGTGGGAAAAATAAGTTTCTCACAAAGAATAAATACCTACTATAGAGAGTGATTTAATTTTTGCTGCTGAAAGGGGTTTTTTAATGGCTCTCTGGTCTAAGTATTCAGTGGAGCACAAAACACATTTTGGAAAATCCACATGGGCTTATGATAAGGGTAAGCATATAAATGCAGTAACATGTACTTAGTCGGAGAACACCTATTACCTAAATCCTTCAATGACAGTATATTTAAAACATCTAAATAATTAGCAAGTCAGTTTTACTGATAGTGTCTTCTAACCAGAAGTCAACTGCTTCATCCTTATATAGCTGTATTCAATTTCAGAGATTGTATAAGCATATTTATATTATAGCTCTCTTTAGAAACAAAACTATATTCCCTGCTTTAAGGAACAGATTTCAATTTCTGAAGTTCAAAATCAGTGGTAAACCCGTTGTGTGGTTGCACTCTAATTTAATGGTGAACTAAGTCATCCCGTTCTATTCCAATCCTTTTTACACTAAGCGATTCCAGATAGGTGACCATTGATACAAACCGATTAGCTACTGCTAGTTATGCATACTAACACTTTGTGTAAAATTACCCAAGTATCAGACCCTTTGCATCTTGCTAACCACATACAAACCCAAATTTTACTGATTTTACGTGTTTTCTTCAGAGGTATGGAAAAATATTATTGATCCTCGATGTGATTTTGCAAATCCACATGTAAAATATCAAAGCAAAACTCATCACTGGTGCTTTGGGCTGCCTTGGCTTTCACAGAACTGACTTTGTATCACTTTCAGGTTTTAATAAAAGAGAGTAAAATCAAGCCTCGGGGCTATGAAACACAGCAGGAGTGCCAACTACCAACCTATTTATGTGCATACTCAGACATAATCTGCTTCTATGTTGTCCCAAGACACAACTGTTAAGTAAATAAAGTGACTAATAAGACTATTGTTTCTATAATTATCCCCCTGTCAAAATCAACAAGAGAAATAGCGATCTTCTACATCACAGTGCAAATAGATGAAATCATTGCTGTAACTAGCTAAGTAGCTAATTTTTGTAGTAGTAACGTTGTTTTAGAACCTCCTATTAAAGGGAGAGGTCTTTGAAGGTATCTATAATCCGGACAAAAGAAATAGATTGACCTGTGATGGGTGACATTAGAGAAGTGTTCCATGTTTCCTTAATTAGTATAATGTGTTATGAGATTTTGATATGCTTAGTTTAAAAAGAAAAAAGACAGAAATTACTTCTCGTTTAAAGAGAACCTGCTTCCTGCTTAAGTGGCTAATATTTTAATTAAGTCTGGAGTGAAGTTTTTTGAGTATCTCCTGATAAACTCCCTCCTTTATGTTGATGGTAATTAAACAGATCCCCAAGGGCTTGGGTAGGTGCTTTGCGAGGCCCATGCTAATTGTCAGACATGAGACACTGACCAGTTGGTTTGCTCTTGAATAGCCGACAGCGTGCTGTCAGCCCAGCAGTTTGATTTTTCTGTATTGTGAGCTGTTGTCAGGGCTAACTGGGTCCTATTGTGGCTGAAGATGTTGCGCAAATTGAGGCAGATGGCTCTGATTCAGACACGTGTCATTCAGAAAGAGGAGAGGAGATTGGCCCTGCAAAGTGGGGTCAGACTGGGTCACAGACCTGCTCTACACTTGTTAGTGTTTTCAAAAGCCCATGTGCAGCAACTTTGTTGTTGTCAGGTCACCAAGGGGGGGAAAAAAAGGGAAAGGGGGGCAAAAAAGCATGGTGTGCTCCTTGTGGAAGATGGAAGACGAGGCTGTTGCCATCCTTTTCTGTTGCCATCCTCTTCCTTACCGTCTCTTGGGCCTGCCTGTGCATGCAGAATGAATTAACAGGATTGACAGAAGTTCATTGTGCCTAAAATGGCTTTTCAGTCAATTGTGGTGCTTAAAAGGCTAGTTTTGCTTTTAATTCCATGTAATTAGTGGGTTCTTCATGTCTTGGAATTTAGTAATGGTGCATTAGTCCTAACTTTTGCTTATCTGGTTGGCTGGAGAGAGGGGTTTGCTTGCTTTCTAGGGTTTTTAGTAATTATAAAATATTTAGAAATACTGGCCACATTTCTATTATTATATATTCTGGAGATAAATTCACAGATGGAATGATTTGATGTCTTGCTGTTACCATCATTTCAAATTATCATGTTGGATCTTTATAATTTTTAATATTTTTAGTTGGAATTAATTCCCAAGATGACAGGAGGATACACTTTTCTGAAAGTAAAACAATTTGACTTTTTGGAACTGTTCTACTACATTTAGCATAGTTGCATTTTCTTTGGGGCACCAAATAATGATAGTTATCCATGGAAAACTCCACACAGCTGAATTCAAGTTGCCAATGTGCACTAAAATAGTTCTTGAGTATTGTAGATGAACTGAAGAATCAGAATTTACATTAAAATTTATTTAAATAGATTTTATTGTTTGCACTATTAAATACACAATTTTGCATGATACTTTTTTGTCCTTAAATGCAAAAATATTTACACAATGCTGAACTAATTCTTTCTGAAGAATTTATGGAGGTTTTTATGGTTTATCCCCCGAAATGCATTAATGAAATTGGAGGCATTTTATTATATTTGAGCTCATTTAACTTTTGCAGAAAGAGATATTAGTAGTCTTTGACCTTAAGATCCTCAGTGATTTTTCTTTTTTCTTTTTTATTTTTCCTTCCTCCTCCAGATTTGCAGCTAAAACTGTGCACAGTGGGTCACTGATGCTAGTCACAGTGGAGCTGAAGGAGAGCTCTACAGCACAGCTCATCATAAACACTGAGAAAACCGTGATTGGTTCTGTTCTGCTGCGGGAGCTGAAGCCTGTCCTGTCCCAGGGGTAACCTGCTTACATCTGGACTTCAGAATCTGGCACACAACAAAAGTGCCTGGCATCCACTACTGCTGCCTTTCATTTATAATAATAGCCCTTCCATCTGGCAGTGGGGGAAGAATACACTCTTGACATTCTTGTCTTCTGCTTTAGAATGCTAGTGTGTATCTATCATGTATGCAAGTCCTTTCCTTTTTTTTCCTGCTTGCTAACCAAAGAACATATATTTTACTGTCAGTTATCTGCGCTTTTAAATGTATTTCCCATTTGTTCTACCCTAGTCTTTCCCTCTCCGCTCCCTTCCCCCACTACCTTTCTCCCCCAATCAGTTTTCCCCACTGTAGTGGACAAATACTAGATAATAAAGTTCAAGGGAAATCACAGTGCTTGAAAAGTGAGTTAAAATGGCATGTAGGTTCCAGCAACATATACAATAACTACAGAGAGGTTTTGTTGCTTAAGTGTAAAAATGCAATAGGTACAGCAAAATGGTGTTTGCTTTTTGGAAGTGCTTGTAAACCTGAACTTGTCTATTAAGAATATTGTTCCCACCTACTGCCATTTTCTCAAATATTCTGTTAAGATGCCAATAAAGTAGTGCTATGAGCAGAGGCTTCCTCTTTCTTGTTTTCGTAGACAACTGAAAATTATGATCGCCACTATTGTATATAACTGGTTAATTAAACTAAATACTAACAAGGTTGGACACTACATATGCATCAGCAAACTGTTCTTGTGAGTAGCCAGCATTTGTGCTCTTATTGTAATTTTCTGCTATGCAGTTACATTTTTGTTAATAAACAAAGCCAGTAATTGCCTATTTTCAAATTGGCCCATTCATAAAATACTGATTGAATTATTAGAAATTAGTATTATATGAAACACTGATTATTAGACTACTGTGGCAAATACTGTCATCTAGCTTAATAAATTCTTCAGATCTTTGCTTCAAATTTCTATTGTAAACTGAGATTAAAATGTGTCCCACCGATGCATAAACCAGGGCTCAAGGCAAAGAGAAATTCATAACCATATCTACAGAACTAGGGCTAAGACTGCCAACAGCTGTGCAACCTTTGTTGCACCCAGTTTTCTGCCTGTAGTCTGCGTGTCACTCATTTTGACCTTCCCATCACATTCTGGTTACATGATAGGACTGAAGATGCTGAGCTTTGTCATTTCATATCAGTTCTCCTCACTTCCAATGTGGCTTTTCCTAGTAGCTCATGCCTCTGCTGCAGGTGTTTTCGTGATGCAGAGAAGATACTCGGATAACTCTACCCTTGCTCCATCACCAGGACCCTTGTGGTCCTTTGATGCTAAGTGGTGCTGTTTTGGTTTAGCTTTCTGGATGATAGGAAATACCGCTTCATCAGAAATGTTGCATTACTGCACACTGGAAAAGTCTTCTAAAATTTTCTACTAAAATTTGGTAGAACTAAAAGGTAGGTCCAAAGTGTAGCCGAGTTTATTGGCAAATTTTAAAGAGGGGTTCATTTTTTTACTTATTTAAGTTGCACTTCTGTAAGAAATGTAGTTCTAGGTTTTGCTAGCACACAAAATATGCTGGTACTTCTCAGACAAAGAAACAAGGATCTTATACCCTCAACAGAAATGTACATGTTTTTAACCAACATTCACAGTATTTTATGCTAATCCTGCAATAAGTTTTTTCTTGAATTACAGTTTTCAAGTGTGATGTAAAAGTTATTCAAACAGATGGAAAATTATTCACTTCAGAACAGAGAAAATGCAGGTTAGTCTAGATGGTATTTGATATTAAGGCTCAGTGAGAAGGTGGTGACTTCCTGAGAAAAGACTGAACTGCAAAAACAAACAAGAATTGTTTCTTGTACCACAGTATAGATCAAAGGAAAGCATATTAATGCTATGTAAGTCACATATGTTGCTGAGTAATTTCTGCCCCCCTAGAGTACTTTATACATTTTAATAGTGAAGCCCAGAAACTTGTGTATAGTAAGGATATTTGGGAGTTTCTGGTATTAATTCACATTTTGCAACACTCTGTGACTGGACCACATGGTCCAGTGGTTCAATAACTCTTGGTACAGGCATCTGGACTGACAGATTTTGAAAATTTATTTTTATTTGAAAATTTATGCTGCCTTCCCCAAATAGTAATTGAAAACTTATTTAAAATTTTAAAAATTATTATTTTTAATTATTAAGTAGTAATTTGGGGAGAAGATTTCTTTAAAGACAGATATTTAAATCGTTAAATGCCTCTGCATGTAATAAAGCTCATCTCTTCAGGAACCTAAACCTGAGCACATGTAAGTGTCTTACATTAATAGTGGAAGTTGCACTTGATCATAATTAATCCAGTTAGCAGTAGTTAACAATAGTTTCTTGGTTTTGCTATGTATCATTTTTATTCACTTTCTTTGATACTTTTCATTATTTATAGAGGCATCTTAAAGGTTATTAGGATATGAAGTAGAATGACTAGTCTAAATTGCAATCTAGAATTCACTTCAGAGTGACTTGCTTGTACTAGGTAGCAGCAGCTACTACCTCTATGGGCTTTTCAGTCAGGAGCCACACACTGAGAACCACCTGGCTTCAGCAAGAATCTAGACCTGGGCACCCTTGGAACGTTCCTGGATGCGCAACTTGGCATGCCAGGAGCAACGCTGAAGCATAGTATTGCAGTACTGGTGAGGTGAGTTTTGCTAAAACGGTTAGGGAATTGTGTCGCGGTGTAGTTTAGGGACCAGGAGGTAAGGGTTAATTACTTAAATTGTGAAGGGTTCAACCACAATGGAACCTCCAGAAATATGGGAAAACCAGTAACAACTACGAACTGAAATATTGTAAATAGGAAATTTGGGTATAATTTTATTAACTGTTTAATTAACTCATGCCCAAGGAAGTGAAACTCAAAGAGACTCCAAGAGTATTGTGATCTAGTTCAGGCCATAAACTGATGCCAGTAATTATGGGTTGAAGAATTGCATATCAAGGGCAAACATATGAGAAAGTTTCGGCATAGTGAGAGATTGACAGTTTACCTCTACTTTGCTTGCTGCTTGTTTCCACACACCCATATATTCCCCCTTGTGAAGAGGAAGAGTTTGGGGGTTTTTTTCTTTTTTTTATTTTAAATAATAATTTTCAGATGTAGTTATTCCAAAATAACTCCAACCATTTGTAAAGAATAGGGTACAGGCAGAATATAAACATAGGCTTGATGCATGACAGTCAAAATAACGATTTTTTTCCTCTTATTTTCCTTTCACATTTTATGATCCTTCATAAATGGATAATATCTTTTTTCCTGCATACCCTGCTTTAATTCCAGTAACTAATTTCTAAAGAAAAATACCAGAAATAGAAATGGGTCTAGAGCTAGGAACAAATAATGGAAGATATAAATAGAATACCATGTGAAAGGATAGTGGAAATAATTAAAGTGTTTTTAGAGCAGGGACATGATACAGTATATGAAATAATGAATGGCATAGAAAAGACAAATTGGGCTTTCCTGATGATATTTTCTACTAACTCAGGAACAAGATGGCATTCTGTAACATTTCTAAAGCAATATATGTAAATAGAAGGAAGAAATTTAACTTTTTTTTCCCCTGTCTTTAAACACAACATGTACTTAAGCTCTGGTCATCCACTGTCACAAGATAATACAGTGTTTACTAAAAGTGGAACAAGACTGGAAACGCACATTAGCAAAGGAATATAGAGGTATGTGTTGGATAGGATACAAAAACACATAAGGGCTCTAGATCTTCTTGATCTGAGGCTTTGGCTAATTACTGATATTTGGTGATAGGATGAAATCCTTCTGCACACTTTGTTTTGCAATAGTCCATTACAGTTCTTTGTTAAAAATATTCAATTACTGAACTGTCTAGTTTTGCATACAATATCGTATATGCTTGAATTAATTTTAACTTAGCACTTAAATGCCCTAACAAGGATTCTGGTATGCAATGTATGAGTAAGTTGAATCCTCCCAAGACCTTATCTGACTTTCACTGTGTGCCTGAAACAAGCATGTGAGGATTGGACTCTGTTCCCTTTATTATCTGCTTGTCTTCCTCCCTTTCCCTATATTTGTTTCTTTTGTCATAAAGTGTGTGTATTTTATAACACGTGTTATATTAAATGTTTTGTGGTGCAGACACCAGGCTTTGCTGTGTTTGCATAGTGTGGTTTCATTGCTGATAGGAGGCTTTGTGCACAACCCTGATGCAAGCAATGCTTCTGTCCAGGTTATTTTCCTCTTATTTGATATACTAGGACTTTGTGTAGCACAGTCCAGTGAACCTGTTTCGAAGAGAAAGAGATGGTGAACACCACTGCATTTCCAGTCCCACAGCTACCTGGTTTTGCTTCAGAAGGTACAAGGTGAACTACTCTTCAGGGGTTAGTAACCCTGACTGTACTGCCCCAAATCTTGATCTGCTTAAATCCCTGTGTACGTTCTGGTGCATATACACATACTTTACAAATAGCGTTACTCTAAACTCCTTTTTACCATTGTGCACATACAGGAGAGAGAGCAAAAATTATGTCTGCTGGCTTCCACCACTGCTTTTCCAGTCCTCTCCAGGTCCCAGCCTGTTCTCACCCTGTTCCTGGCAACATGCCTCCTCCTTTGGTCTCCTTTCCCAGACATGGCTTTTGGGGGAAAGGAAAGGGGACAGCAGCTCTGCCCTTAGCACAACCTAATAGAGCATATATGTTGTGAGTCAGCATCCACACCTCCATGTCCCCCTCTGGCTCGGACCTGGTTCTTCTCCTTGATGGGAAAGATTTGGACTAAGCCTTGCAAAAACAGCTGACCTTCAAGAAAGAGCAAGAGCTGTTGGTGCGCTCGGGTCCTTCTCACTCTCCCACCCTGTAAAATTGCTGGGGGGCAGTGGAAAGGTGGTGAAAGTGGAAAGTCACTAGCCATGGCGAATGGCAGGTGGGTGAGGGAGATGGCCGGTAAAAGTGAGAGAGCGCCCTGGTGCTGCCAGGCTGCAGAGCTCCAGACTTGTCTCGGACCATGGGACACCCACTAGCTCGGGCTTACGGCAGCACGCTGAGTTTGGCAGCTGGAGCAGAGCAGCCAAGGGAGGCGTAGGGAGGGCAGGAGCCTTGGGAGGGGCAGCGTCGGCTCTTCTTCTGCAATGCATCACATCTGACCAAAATAGCTGCCCCTCGTCACCTCCATGCACCACCGGCGGCCACAGGCCATCCACGTTCACAAGGGCGGCCTAGGCAGCCAGGGAGGCTGGCAGATGGTGGTCGCTACAGGTGCCCTGGAGCTGAGGCCTGGTAGCTGTGGCTTCACGGGGACGGTGGAGCGGCCTCTGCCCACCCTGCAGCCACCCAGGCACACCTGGCCTGGCTGGGGTGCCAGAGAGGCCCCCGGGTGCTGGCAGCCTGCCTGGGGAAGGAGGAAGGTGGGCAGGCCGGAGGAGAGGCAGCAAGCCCCTGTTCCTGGGCTGCAGAGCGGGGA